TGAGCCAGTCAGGATCGAACTCCTGACAGTGGATAGCCTGCAATACTTCATTCTAACCACTACGCCATCACGGCTCTTGCATTAACAGAGGGATAGAATCAAGATCACGTGAAGTATTAATACCACTTTACAATGACTCTAGAAAGAGAACAGAGAAGAGCAACAAAGATGATTAGGGGACTGGAGGCTAAAGCATATAAGGAACGGCTGCTGGAATTGGGTATGTCTAGTTTAATGAAGAGAAGGACAAGGGGGGACATGATAGCAGTATTCCAATATCTCAGGGGTTGCCATAAAGAAGAGGGAGTCAAGCTATTCTCCAAAGCGCCTGAAGGCAGGACAAGAAGCAACGGGTGGAAACTAATCAAGGAGAGAAGCAACCTAGAACTAAGGAGAAACTTCCTGACAGTTAGAACAATTAACCAGTGGAACAACCTGCCTCCAGAAGCTGTGACTGCTCCAACACTGGAGGTTTTTAAGAAGAGACTGGACAGCCATTTGTCTGAAATGGTATAGGGTTTCCTGCCTGAGCAGGGGGTTGGAGCAGATGACCTCCAAGGTCCCTTCCAACTTTTATTATTATTATTATTATTATTATTATTATTATTATTATTATTATTATTATTATTATTATTATTATTATTATTATTATTATTATTATTATTACAACATCATGATGTACATTTTGACATCATACTTAGGAATAACCACCAATGGCTATACCTATTGGAAAATGGAAGCTTCCTTGTTCACAGCCACCCCAAGTGAAGAGCAAGAAACAGTGAGATTTAGGTTGGCCAAGAACATTAATAACCACAATTAGTGATTCACTGGATCTCATCCAGGTTATCTAGTTTATTATTTACAATTCCTTTCTCTTTCCCAATAGGTGGGTGTGATCAGCTGGGGTACATATGATCCATGTGTACGGAAGAGGAAAAACGACAATGGGGAAATGATACGAGAGGAGCCAAGCAAAGCATACAAACCACGAGATTTCTACATCAGCCTCTTTCAAGTGCAGGATTGGTTAAGAAAACATCTGGACAAGTCCTTGAGATTCATTCCCATGCAGTGAACTTCTAGTATTTGCTCTTAACCAGAACTTAGTACAGTATTTGCCCAGCCAGCAATCGCCATAATAATGATTAAAAATTACCTTGATGACATCTGGCAATTGAAATATTGATATTCACAGCAGAAGGATCCAAATTTGGTCCAAAGTTCCTTCCACAGACATTGCAAAAATGCCAATCAGCTGAAAATAAAATTAAGCCAGTGGTTTCTTTCACACCATACTGTATATTATGCACCCCTGCTTGTCTTCCAAGATCCTTCGATAATATTTATTCAAAAGTTAATCCTATTCCCCTGAAGCTTTCTAGTGTTGATTAAGACAATGGCTATTAAAAGCTTATTCCTTGTTCTTTCTCCCCTGTTTGTTATGACTTCTTACCGAGCATGGCAACAGGAATACTGTTAAATAAACTGTCAGTGGAGTAGCATATCTCATTTGACTCTTAATATATATTCTTGTGTGCCTAGATTGAATGTTTGTGCATAGTGCTATTAGTGGTTTCTTTCCACACGTTCTTTGCGTTATACATAGCATAATGTATTTCGTAGTTTGCAATCAGGCCTTTGTGTGAGAAAAGAAAGGTATCTGAGCAAACAGATGAATCAGGAATTCATGATAAGAGGCCATTAGAAATCCCCAGGAAGCAATAAGTAAGTCAAAGCACTTTTGAATGAGAGGAATCCTGTTTCCTGTTTCAAACAGGATGCTTTTGATTCGAAATATTGAAGTGCCCGGAATGGTTTGCTACCTCTATCCAAATTAGACTCTATGATGTCCATGGGAGGGGCAGGTCTTAGGACTGCGAGATTGTGGCTGCCATCTGAACTTGTTGGACACACACGTACACACACACAACATCTGAATGTCCTTGTTTAGTATCCTAATTACATTTTAAATCTGGACGTCATTTTAAAAAGCAACACAAAACAAAGAGAAAAGTGACCCAGAAAACCATAGTGCTCCGCTTAATCATTCCATGTCCCTGAATTTCTTTCTACAAATAAATGAATAACCCGATAGATCAGCGGTTCTCAACCTATGGGTCGCGACCCCATTTGGGGTGGATCGACCATTTCACAGGGGTCACCAAACAAGGCTGTCCGCCATTTTTTTTCCCCCTTTTCCGGCGGGTGCCTTACCTCCCTTGAGCTGGGCCAGCTGGTGGTCGGCCTGCTCCGTCTCTGCCACTTGCCAGCTACGCCTCGGCCGGCGCAGGGGGCGGAACCACGCATGCGCGGCACTCCCGTGAAGGGAAAGTCCTCGACTTACGATCGGTTGGGTAGTCCTTGACTTACGACCGGTTTAGTCCTTGACTTATGACCGGTTTAGTCCTCGACTTACGACCAGTTTAGTCCTCGAATTACGACCGGTTGGGGTCGCAGCATTAAAAAGGTTGAGAACCAATGCGATAGATGCATTATGGTTTTTTTTTTCATCCAGGATACAATCTTGGAGTAAGTGAAGAGGAGTGCATGTAGTTTCAGAAAGTTAAAGAAAAAAATGTTGGCTATGATTTTATAGTGCAGTGGTGGCGAACCTTTGGCACGCGTGCCAGAGGCGGCACTCAGAGCCCTCTCTGTGGGCACACAGGCCATGCCCTGGAGATGGCAACCGTCCCTCTTCAACCAGCCGCCCGCTAACTCGCCGAGGTCCTACATGGCCGGATGCATCCCAGCACCCATGCGCTTGCTGGCCTCTGTGTGCAGAGGTCGATGGTGTCAGGCAGCAGCCGCCCTGGCCTCTACTTGCCCTGTGACAATGGCACCCCCGCCCTGTCTCCCTTGCCTCGCCTCACCCCGCAGAGGAGGGACGCCTGTGAGGGCCGGGCAGGGTTGGGGGAGATCCAGGGGGGTCTCTGCCAGGTGGGGTGGTGGGTGGCAGGACCAGCCTCCTGCCCACCGCCCCACCTGCCAGAGACCCCCTGGACCTCCCCCAACCCTGCCCGGCCCCCACAGGCGTCCCTCCCCACAAGCAACATCGAAGTGATCACACCCACCTTGGCCACTCCCACCCAATCTGCCATGACCACCACAGCCACGCCCACCCAGTGGGCCATGCCCACCTGGCACCCGGTGATAAATAAGTGGGTTTTGGGTTGCAGTTTGGGCACTCGGTCTCTAAAAGGTTCGCCATCACTGTTATAGTGGCATGACACTCTAATAACCAATTTGAAATAATAGAAAATACCTGTAGCTCAGGGTTTTAGATTTTGGTAGTGGTTGGCTCTCCAAGCTTGTTTCAATTTAGTTTCTGAATGTTTCATTACCCGACTAGGTAACATCATCAGCAGGATTTTCTTGTCCTATTTTATTTATAAGCTAAGGAAAATTGGACAAGAAAATTCTGTTGCTGATGTTACCTAGTCTGGTAATGAAACGTTCCGAAACTACCTAGGAAGATTCTGGAAAAGATAATCAAGCAACGAATCAATGAACACCTAGAGGCAAACAAAGTCATAACCAAAAGCCAACATGGATTTGTCAAAAACAGATCATGCCAGACAAATCTTATTGCATTCTTTGATCAGGTGACAAAATTAGTGGACCAGAGGAATGCTGTGGATATAATTTATTTGAACTTCAGTAAGGAATTTGATAAAGTAGACTACAACCTACTACTTGATAAGATAGAAAAATGTGGGTTAGACAGCATCACTATCAGATGGATTTGTAGCTGGCTGACAGGCCGTACTCAGCGTGTGGTCCTCAATGGAACTGCATCTACATGGATGGAACTGTGCAGTGGGGTGCCCCAGGGCTCTGTTCTGGGCCCAGTGCTCTTCAACATCTTCATCAATGATTTGGATGAGGAGATAGACGGGGAACTCATCAAATTTGTAGATGACACCAACCTGGCAGGAATAGCCAACGCTCCAGAAGACAGGCTTAAGATACAGAAGGATCTGGACAGACTTGAACACTGGGCGCTATCTAACAAAATGAAATTCAGTGGTGAAAAAAGTAAGGTTCTACATTTAGGCAAGAAAAACCAAATGTACAGGTATAGTATAGGGGGTACCTTGCTCCATAGTAGCAACTGTGAGAGGGATCTCAGAGTCGTAGTGGACAATCACTTAAATATGAGCCAGCAGTGTGCTGCAGCTGCCAGAAAAGCCAACACAAAGCTAGGCTGCATTAACAGGGAGAGAATCAAGATGACGTGAAGTGTTAATACCACTTTACAATGCCTTGGTAAGGCCACACTTGGAATACTGCATCCAGTTTTGGTCACCATGATGTAAAAAAGATGTTGAGACTCTAGAAAGAGTACAGAGAAGAGCAACAAAGATGACTAGGGAACTGGAGGCTAAAACATATAAGGAACGGTTGCTGAAATTGGGTATGTCTAGTTTAATGAAGAGAAGGACAGGATAGCAGTGTTCCAATATCTCAGGGGCTGCCACAAAGAAGAGGGAGTCAAGCTATTCTCCAAAGCACCTGAAGGCAGGACAAGAAGCCACGGATGGAAACTCATCAAAGAGAGAAGCAACTTAGAACTAAGGAGAACTTTCCTGACAGTTAGAACTACTAATCAATGGAAAGGCTTGCCTCTAGAAGTTATGGATGCTTCAATACTGGAGGTTTTTAAGAAGACATTAGACAACCATTTGTCTGGAATGGTATAGATTCTCCTGCTTGAGCAGGGGTTTCGACGAAGACCTCCAAGATCTGCAACTCTTTTATTCCGTTACTAAATGAATGGCGGTGTGTAGAAGGCTACCTGTATAAAAAATGTAAATAAATGACTCGTGGTCACTGCCCCTTTCTCTCCTTTTTTTATATAAAACTGAAGGAAATGACAACTGAATATAAGTGGGTGTGCTTGCTGAAAAAAAAACCCAATGATTTAGAACCATCAGCCCTCCCACTCTTCAAACATGGACAGCAGCAGTTGGACTTGGGACCCAATAGAGCCAGGAGTATCAAGAAGAGGCACTGAGAAGAACTCACACCCTTGCCCCAAACAATGGATTTTTTTCTCTCTTCTTTTGAAGGATAGTAAAGTTATACATTCATCACATCACAGATAAAAATGATAAAAATACCAAGAAACAAATTCAGGTAACTTGTATAAATAAAAGCACGCGCACATACAAACGTATATACAACAATGGATTCTAGATAGGGTGTTTGGCCTGCCAGAAGTTGCCTAAAATAGTTCCATATAATGATCCTGGGCTTACTCAGAGTTAAAAGGGTTAGCTGGGAACACTTGAAATACTTAAAGCACATCTTAAAATTGGGACTGGTATTATCTTTTCAAACCTGGCAGACCGGGGTTTTTATTTATTTATGGATGGTGAAGAAAGTTAAAGACAACAATTTTAACAATCCAACCCAATACAACTGAGAACTCACCAATTCCAATTTATAAGAGGACAACATGACCAACCAAGTTGAATTAATCTATTGGCTCAAATGTCTGGCTCTGTGTTTCTTAACCTTGTCCACTTTGAGATGTATGGACTTCAACTCCCAGAATTCCCCAGACAGCCATGCTGAATGTACCAAAGGGTTAGGTTTTGCATTGATGCTCTGTCTTTCTTCTGATTTTGAGGCTTTCTCCTTTCCTACCCCACCAGTCCTTACCAGTCCCACTACAAGTTGGATTAAAAAACAACAACCAAATGTTTCTACATCTTTATGGAGAATAGGATTGAACAGAAGGAATTATGACGACCAGTATGGAACCACTTATTTAGCAACACTTTGAGATATAGTCATTAGCTGGAGTAACAGAATAACAGAATAACAGAGTCGGAGGGGACCTTGGAGGTTTTCTAGTCCAGCATTCCCTAATCTTTCCAGGTTGGCATGCGGAGAGGGGGGAAGAGGGGATGGTTTTATGTGAGGGACAGGCACGCATACAGCTTCATTTGTGTGGCCACGAATAGGGCTGGGAGCTCCGGTGCCCACCGCTTGCGCAAGTGGGGCTGTGCACGCCTGCCCACCACTAACGCAGCCCAGTTTTGAATAGGCCATGGCCCAGTAGTGGGCCGTGGTCCACAGGTTGGGGACCCCTGTTCTAATCCAAGGCCCTGCTCAAGCAGGAGACCCTATACCAGTGGTGGCGAACCTATGGCACGCGTGCCAGAGGGGACACTCAGAGCCCTCTCTGTGGGCACGCGCACCATCGCCCCAGCACAGAGTTCGCCAGAGTAGCGAGCAAGTGCCGTTTGGAAGCATTTGAAAGCGACAGGGCAGTGAGCGAGCAAGCGAGCGAGTGAAAAGGTGGCGTTTGGAAGCGTTTGGAAGTGACAGGGCAGTAAGTGAGAGAGTGAGTGAGCAAGCAGCATTTAGAAGCATTTGGAAGCGAGGGGGCAGTGAGCAAGTAAAAAAGTGGTGTTTGGAAGCGTTTGGAAGCAACGGGGCAGTGAGCGAACGAGCAAGTGGCGTTTGGAAGCTATGGGGCAGTGAGTGAGTGAATGAGCAAGTGGCGTTTGGAAGCATTTGGAAATGACGGGGCAGTGAGAGAGTGAGCGAGCAAGTGGCGTTTGGAAGTGACGGGGCGGTCCAAATCTAAAAATGCATTTAGAAAATTTTACAACATTTGCAGACAATCCTACAAGCTATCAGGAAGGAATTTTCTACCATTGTAGCAGCTGCAAAGGTGGATTTTAGCAACAGATTTTTACAGTTCCGCAAGATGGAGACAACCCTGTGTTTTCTTACTTCTCCAGATAAAGCCAGATTTGAAGAACTTTATCTTTCCTGCTTACACTGGTTAGATTTAGGAAATCTGGAAATGGAGCTATTGGAATTTCAAGAAAGCTCTATCTGGGGAAATTAATTCTATGAACTGCGTGAAACACTTGAGAAGATAGAAGGGATGACAAAGGACAGCACAGTTAGTTCTGAAAATGAAATCCTTAAAATGAAATCTTTGTTAAAGAAACAAAACATCAAGTCATTCAGTTCCATTGTATTATACATCAAGAAGCTCTTTGTGCCAGGGAAAGCAGCAAAAACTTTGACAATGTCCTCAAAGATGTCGCAAAAATGATGAATTACATCATGGCTCGTGCTCTGAATTTACGAAAGTTGCAAGCAATTCTTCAGGAGGTTCAGGCACAGTGTAATTGTTTACTTATGTACAATTATGTCCAGTGGCTGAGCAGAGGACGAGAAAGATTTGTAGCCTGCTTGGATGAAATTAGGCTGTTAATGAATGAAAAAGGGCAGGAATATCCACAGCTCACTGATACGGCCTGGCTTACCAACCTCATGTTTTTTTTACAGATTTTACAATACACTTCAATGTACTGAACAAACAACTACAAGGTGGAGGGAAAACAGCCGAAAGGATGTTTTGTGATATTAAAACATTTGTGAGAAAACTGCTGGTTTTTGAAAGAGACCTTGAAAGTGGGCAGCTGAAATATTTTCCAAAAACTAAAAATGCATTTAGAAAATTCTACATTTGCAGACAATCCTACAAGCCGTCAGGAAATCTACAAAGAATTTTCTAGCATTTTAGCAGCTGCAAAGGTGAATTTTGTAACAGATTTTTACAGTTCCGTAAGATAGAGACAACCCTGATTTTTCTTACTTCTCCAGGTAAAGCCAAATTTGAAGAACTTGATCTTTCCTGCTTACACTCGTTAGATTTAGGAAATCTAGAAATGAAGCTATTAGAATTTCAAGAAAGCTCTATCTGCAAAAATAAATTCTATGACACTTGAGAAGATAAAAGGGTTGACAAAGGACAGCACAGTTAGTTCTGAAAATGAAATCCTTAAAGTGTGGAATTCTTTGCCAAATAATTTTAAGTGAGTGAAAGCATTTGAGATTGCTTTCCTTACTTTGTTTGAATCATCTTATGCTTGTGAGCAGCTGTTTTCAGCTTTGAATTGTATCAAATCTGACACCAGAAACAGACTAACGGATGACCTGATTGCTGCATGTGTTGCTCTCAAACGTACAAAGTATCAGCCAAGGTTAGACAAATTATCAGCATGCATACAATAGCAAAAATCACATTAATTGTTCAAAAGCATGCCAACTGCAAACTTTTACCTTTCAATAAAAAGTTGTTTGTATCATTGAAAGCTCTGTTGTTGTGTTTTTCTTTTAAGACAAAAATGTTAATGTATGAGTTGTTTTTTCTAAACTAAAACCTCAGTATTCAGGTTAAATTGCCATGTTGGCACTTTGCGATAAATAAGTGGGTTTTGGGTTGACGTTTGGGCACTTGGTCTCTAAAAGGTTCGCCATCACTGACCTATACCATTTCAGACAAATGGTGATAATAATAATAATAATAATAATAATAATGATGATAATAATAATAATAATAATAATAATAATAATAATAATAATAATAATAATAATAATAATAATAATAATAATAAAGTTGGAAGGGACTTTGGAGGTCATCGAGTCCAACCCCCTGCTCAGGCACAAACCCTACACCATTTCAGACAAATGGCTGTCCAGTCTCTTCTTAAAAACTTCCAGTGTTGGCGCATTCACTGCTTCTGGAGGCAGGTTGTTCCACTGGTTAATTGTTCTAACTGTCAGGAAGTTCCTCCTTAGTTCTAGGTTGCTTCTCTCCTTGATTAGTTTCCACCCGTTGCCTCTTGTCCTGCCGTCAGGCGCTTTGGAGAATAGCTTGACTCCCTCTTCTTTGTGGCAGCCCCTGAGATACTGGAACACTGCTATCCTGTCCCCCCTCGTCCTTCTCTTCGTTAAACTAGACATACCCAGTTCCAGCAACCGTTCCTTATATGTTTTAGCCTCCAGTCCCCTAATCATCTTTGTTGCTCTTCTCTGTACTCTTTCTAGAGTCTCAGCATCTTTTTTACATCGTGGTGACCAAAACTGGATGCAGTATTCCAAGTGTGGCCTTACCAAGGCATTGTAAAGTGGTATTAATACTTCGCGTGATCTTGATTCTATCCCTCTGTTAATGCAGCCCAGCACTGTGTTGGCTTTTTCGGCAGCTGCAACACAGTGCTGGCTTGTCCAATCTCTTCACAATGTTGCCATGAAACTCTGTGTTTCGCATTGTTTTGAAGGGCTGGTTCAGACCATGTGTGTCTCCTTGCTTTCGTTTGCACTGCCTACTCCCAGGCAATCCTGAGATCAATTATCCTGAGTCTAAATCAATTAGACTTCATATTGTGCTCATAGTCCATGCTGATAAAGTCTTTAGAAATTATGTTTAATTATCACATGCCAAAAAACTGCTATTTGTATTATAGTTTGGCTTGATAAATAGTGGGACACTAGTGGGAAGAGCAAACAAGGAGGGCGGGGGGTGATGAGTAAGAACCATGGACCTGGGCTCCAGCAAAGACCCATTGCTTAGCAATAGCTGGGACCTGATACACTGCAGTAATCCTCTGGCATAATTCAGATTGTGAAACTTTCCTTTGTAATATTAAATCTGGGGATTTCCCAGTTGATCTTTCCTCCTTTCCTGCTTCCCAGATTCAGCTTTGCCCGATTTCATTCCCAAAACCTTGGGAATTCCTGTCCACCTGCAGACCAAGGTCTTCTGGCCTCACCCGTCTCCCCCCCGACTCTAGAATTGCTTAATGGACTGTGTTATTTCCCAAAACTCAGCTGCTTTTGTCGGGGTGGGGTCAGCCAACGACACGTTTGGAGGGAGGAAAACCAACATTTCATAAGCAGCTGCCCCGCACGGCTGCTGTCAGTACCAAAATAGCAGCAGAGAAACTGAAAGGCGGACGGGAAAGAGAGGCAGGAATGGAGAGGGCTCATCTGCTCCTTTACATCGCCAGTGTCCTTGGGGCACTTGGCACAGGTAAGCTAAAAAAATCCAGAAACAACTAGTGAGTTTCCTCCAAGTGCCCAGAGCAAGGTTGGGCTTGGAGGAAGCTAATGGCTCTTGAAGCCTGAAACTTCTCAGACTTTTATTCTGCTGAAAATGATGCCCACAAGGGTGTAGGAGAAGGGTTGTCACATGAAAATAATGATGTTTTTTAAAGGTTTGTTGTTGTTTTTTCCAGTTCCCCTGTTGGAACTCTTTGCTAGTGAATATTTGCTGCTTTCTCCTTTTCGCCAGTCTTTGCTACCTGTATTTTGCATAACTGCTCTTTTTGACATCTGCAAAACAAGGGATTGATTGTCTATTTAATTTTAGCAGCTAAAGCTATTAACTGCCCAGCATAAGGAAACTCTAGATCAGAGGTCCCCAACCTTTTGGGCACCAGGGACCGGTTCCATGGAGAGAGTTTTTCCATGGACTGGAGGGTGTGTAGTTTTGTGTGCTGCCTGCATCCCGTGGATGGGGCTTTGCTTGTTTGTGCGGGCCGGTTGCTGGCATGCTGCAGCCCGGTACTGGTCCACGGACCGGGGGGGTGGGTTGGGGACCCCTGCTCTAGATAATATTGCAACTGTGTTGTGGATTAACAAGGCCCCTTCATTTGCTATGCTAAAAAAATAAATAAATCACAACGTTAGAATAATGAAACTTCAGAGGGAGGAACCACAGTTCTATCAAATTTGGACGAATTTAACAGTTTATCTCAATAGCAATAGTCCACAATATGGCAACATTTTATGCAGGGTAAATTTGTGTGTGTAAACTGTGATTTTTTTTAGCAGAGATTTTGTAACTTTCTATGTTTTTTTCACTGTGATCTTGGATTTAATCATAGTTTAATCATAATCATGTTAATCATAGTTCAATAAAAATTTCTAGCTGCTTTTTGACATGCAAAAATATTGGATGGAGGACTTACAATGGTTCTTCAATAAGAGGCAGGTTTTAAGAACCAACATTCAGTGATGTAGGCAGCCTTATAGACAGTCACTTATCTGAGATGGTATAGGTTCTCCTGCTTGAGCAGGGGGCTGGACTAGAAGACCTCCAGGGTCCCTTCCAGCTCTATTCTATTCTAACTTATATGACAATGTCTGTACTTTATATGCAATGCTTATGAAAAACAATCAAGAGATTGTTACACAGAATTTTTGGCATTTGGAGTCTAAGAGAGGAGAAAGCTTTCAAAACGAATTTTGAGTTTTGAAATCAAACATTATCATTTCCTTTCTGAATTGCACATTTGAAAAGCCAGAAATGGGCAAAGGTCTGTTTCAAAATCTGTTGAAATGCCTTGGATGTTTTTCAAAATCATTTAAGTGTAAAAAATTGTGAATGCAATGTATCTTTTTGTTTATGAATCCTTTACACTTTAATGCATAGACAATAGGTTTCATTTTATTCTTACAAGGAAGTTTTCAGCATATTTTAAGGCATTTGTCATTTATAAAGCACGGTGTGATCACCTGGGTTTTTCCCTTTTTCCAGTGTATGAAAAGCTATATACGGGCAAAGGCTTACATTTCATTTATTTAACTAATCTTATTTGTTTATTTAATGTATACCCATCTCAAACACGTGATTCTGGGTGGCTAGCAATCTTTAGAAACAAAATAACAACCATTATAGTCCTTCTTAAAAATAATTGCATGGGAAAAGCATAATCTCAGAAAGAGAAGTTTATAAGCCTAGCACTTTTCCTGATTTATGCGAAGATTTATTTACTGGCTTCCGCATTTTAACTGCAGCTTACACAAGGCTAAGCATATCTAAGTAAGAATTAAACTGAGATTTACCACAAAGATAAAGATAAAAGGCTGACTAAGACTTCCATCCTTCCGAGGTCGGTAAAATGAGAACCCAGACTGTTGGGGGCAATATGCTGACTCTGTAAAACCGCTTAGATAGGGGCCAGGGCTGTAAAGCACCGTGAAGCGGTATATAAATCTAAGCGCTACTGCTATTGCTAAAAAGCAGAGTGGTTGTGTTCTCTTTCTTAAAGTACTTGGTTTGCTTTTTGCAAGATTGTAATCAGTTTTTCAGGCCATTTATAATGGTTTTTGTTTGTTTGGTCTGCTTCTGTCAGAAATAAGACGGCCTAAGGCCTAGAAAGTTTTTGGCTATTGGTTTGAGGCTTACGGGACTTTCAGAAACAATCCTTCCTAAACAAACTGGATTAGCTATTAGACTAAGTACACTAAATTGCAGGATTATTGACAGACCTAGACATTTCCCAATAGGAAGAATTTGTCGCTATTACACCATCCCTTTTTATAAATGTGTGCACCCTTGCACACATGCAAAAGATAAACCAATTGTCTCTCAGAGGTGTGTAATCCCTAGCTTACCAAATATTGCAGGACTTCATTTCTCAGCAACCTCCAGTATACATGGCTAACGGGGAGGGATGCTGGGAGTTTAAGTCAACCACACCCAAAGGGCTAGATGCCTTCTCTGTAAAGCAGAATTTCTCAGTCTTGGCAGCTTCAAGATGTGTGGACTTCAACTCCCAGAATTCCCTAGTCAGCATGGGGCATTGTGGGAGTTGATCTCTACACATGTTAAAGCTGCCAGGGTTAAAAACTGCTGTTCTAAAGGGACATAGTTGCTCACGAAGGACCCCTCCCCATAATGCATTTTGCTAAAAGCCCACACTCTCTATTACACACATTGCCGGACTGGGGGGGGGGAAACCACAGCTGCCATCTTGACTTTTTTGACCCCATCCCCTATGTTTTATTTCCAAGGCCAAATGCCTTGCATTTCCTTGTATTCTAGTAAACTTCAGCAGACCTTTGTGATTTTGGATTGCCAGTGAGAAGGGAGAGAATCTTGCCTCGTGGACTACAGTAGTCCTCGACTTACAACAGTTCATTTAGTGACTGTTCAAAGTTACAATGGCACTGAAAAAAAGTGATGTATGACAATTTTTCAGACTTACGACCATTGCAGCATCCCCATGATGACGTGATCAAAATTCAGGGACTTGGCAACTGACTCATATTTGTGACGGTTGCAGTGTCCTAGGGTCCTGTGAGCACCCTTTGTGGCCTTCTGACAAGGGAAGCCAGATTCACTTAACAACCTTGTCACCAACTTAACAACTGCAATGATTCACTTAATAAGTGTGGCAAGAAAGGTCGACAAATGGGGGCAAAACTCATTTAACAACTGTCTTGCTTAGCCACAGGATGTCAACGCTGCTAACATCGGATGTTCTTGCTTTGACAACAGATGGAAATGCAGCCATTTTTCTCTATTGCTTTTAGAGTTAGTTGATGCTGGGAAGGGGAATGTGGATGAGAGTCCAGCTAGTCATAACAATAATAATTCAGCCGTGGGAACCCAAGGTCATTGGGCCCAGAATTGATAGAGTTTTGGCGGGCTGGAGAGCTGGGGAGAAAGCCTGCGCTTCAAGCTAATTGGGGAATGTGATTTATGACTGTTAATTAGAGGAGGGAATTGCGCTTTGCTACTTTGTGCCAGGGGAGGGAATTTAGTTTTTGGTTTCGACTACGTAGTGCCGATATTTTGTTTCTCGAATAAAAGATTCTTCAAGGTAAACAATGCCTCAGAGTTCTTTTGAAGAGTTTCATCTGTTGGAACCATGATACAGAAATTTTGGGTTCAATTGTAGTTGTAAGCCGAGGACTGCCCTATGCATCCCACAGCCAAAGGAAAAGGGTGGCCCCATCTTTCTTTCTGCAAAGATGGGGTCCTGATGCAGCTTTCAAAATGTGGGGTTATAGAATATGACTAATTTCAGATTTTGGAAGTGGGGGGGGGGTTCAAATGCAAACTAAGCCCACCCTTCCCCGATACAGCTCTACACAAAGGAATAGGGAGACTAATTCCCAGCTTCCCAAACCAGTGTGACTCCAGATTGCCTTAGTACTGCACTGCCTGAGGTAAAATGGCCTGGGTTACTTCTCCTTTCATACCCCCTTTTTTTTTAAATGGGGAATTGTATTAAGGCAAGATAGTTTCAGAGCTTGACCTAAAAAAAAAATGAGCTCCTTGGACTTCAGGGAAAAGGAAAGGGGAAAAGGAGTTCATTGAATCAAGATGTCCTTAACTTTAAGTTTTAATTTATTCAGGTTTTACTGTAAATGTATTTTTTATGTCTTTAAGCCACTTATGGCTTATGTCTTTAAGTTACTTATGGTAAGATGGGTGGCCAATAAAATTTATTTATTTATAAACAAACAAACAAACAAACAAACAAACAAACAAACAAACAAACAAATAAATAAATAAATAAATAAATAACTTAGGGTAAATACATTCAGTACAGGTAGTCCTCAACTTGCAACCTTTTGTGGTTCGAAGTTACAACAGCACTGAAAAAAGTGTCTGATGACCGTTTTTCGCACTTAAGACCGTTGCACCACCTCCATGGTCACGTGATTATAATTTGGATGGATGGCACCGGCTCATATTTATGACGGTCACAATGTCCCACAGTCATGTGATCATCTTTTGTGAACTTCTGACAAGCAAAGTCAATGGAGAAGCCAGATTCACTTAACAACTGGGTTACTAACTTAACCACTGCAGGGCTTCGCTTAACACCTGTGGCAAGATAGGTCGTAAAATGGGGCAACACTCACTTAACAGAAAGCTTAGTGACAGAAATTTTGATCTCAGTTGTGGTCGAGGACTACCTATATATAACACCACAGTCCTCAGATCTTGAGTAATATTTTACTCAACCCTGAGTTAAGGTTTGCTTTTCAAAATAAGCTCTGAGGCTAGCTTTCACCTCAGGTAACAGCCCCAGCTCACAGCAGTTTTCGAACAACGAAAATAACGTGAAAATCCTCTCCTACAATGGGTCATTACAAGGGGGGAGGACAAAACCTCAAATCCCTGGCCTAGCTCCTGATGTCACCTAGAGGGAGGCAAAAAAGTCAAGATGGAAGCCACAGCCAAACAATCAAACTCTACCTCTTTTGCAATGCAAGTAAAAAAAAAATAGCAGGATTGAGGCTGCCATCTTGATTTCCTGCCTGTGCGTTGCAAGGGAAAGCTAAAGGAAGGTATCTCCTCTATAAGGCAGTCCTCACTTAGGGACTATCTGAGGTTACAATGTACCTCCCCAAAAGTACCTAGGACCCAGTTCTGAAGTTCCAACGGTCACAGCCCCACGTAGTCAATTTATCACATTTTGGATACTTGGCAACCAGCTCAAATTTACGGCCATTGGCAGCTTCCTGGGGTGATGTGACTGCAGTTTTTGACATTTTTTGCCATTTTCCATCATTTACTTCCCGTTTCCAGCAAAAAAACAGCCATTGAAGACAGGTTTGCGTAACAACTGTCGCATACACTTTACAACCGCCACCAGAAAGATTGTCAAATCTGACACAGTTAAGTGGTGATCTGCCACATCTTACAACCATAATTCCACGCTCAATTTCAGTCACAGGTTGAGGGCTACCTGTACACCTTGACCTGAAAACTTTTACACATTTGGCTGCGCCCACATAACACACTGAGGTTATGGGGATGGACCATTTTTTCCCCCTTAACCAAATTACTGGATTAAAACCCTGCCCATGGCTTCCATCATGTGGTTGCATCGCCATCTTGACTTTTTTGACTCCTCAGGAGCCCGATTGAAGGCTTATCATTGCGTTTAGCTGGAATTTGAAACAAAGGCTTGTTGTTGACTCCAAATTCTGATTCCTGAGGACAGAAAAACAGTTTCTGCCCCTCTGACTCAAATGCTAAGATTCAAGGACACGGTTCTTGATAAGCTAGGTTTATGACAGATACTTGGAAATCTATAATTAAAGCGGAAAGCCAGCAATTACCAACTAGTTGCCTGAAGCCATCTATATAGCATTCCTGAGGTTCAAAACTTAGGCCAGTGTTTCTCAACCTTAGCCATTTTAAGATGTGTGGACTTCAACTCCCAGAAATCCTCAGCTGGGGAATTCTGGGAGTTGAAGTCCACACGTCTTAAAATGGCTAAGTCTGAGAAACACTGCCTTAGGGATCTTCCCCCCCACCCACCCCAGTGACCCAAAAGGAAGCTAAGCTATTCTCTCTCTCTCTCTCTCTCTCTCTCTCTCTCTCTCTCTCTCTCTCTCTCTCTCTCTCTCTCTCTCTCTCTCTCTCTCTCTCTCTCTCTCTCACACACACACACACACACACACACACATTCGCCTTTTGAAAAAGCACCTTTGAGACAATTACAATCATGTTACTAACTTAACAGCTGCAGTGATTCACTTAACAACTGTGGCAAGAAATGGGACAAAACTCACCTAACTTACTTAACAACTGTCTCGCTTAGCAGCAGACATTTTGGGCTCAATTGTGGTCGTAAGTCAAGTGTTATCTGTATAGGCTCTGGTCCTGCCTTAGGCCTGAAGTCAGAACTGGGAGACTTTGGGCCAGTCCCTTCCCCCACTTCTAGGGAAAATCATTTCTGAAAAACATTGCCAAGAAAACCACATGGACTTTTCCCTGTAGTTGCTGGGAGTCAAGACTGACTTGCAGTCATCAAAAGCAAAATTAAAACTCATATAGCCTAAAGGTTGGCTATTCAGGATCTGGAATGGTGTTTTTCCAACCATCAACTTTAGCTTCATTCCACACATCTTAAATTAAATACTGCATCCAGTTTTGATCATCACGTTACAAAAAAAGATGTCGAGACTTTGGAAAAAGTGCAAAGAAGAGCAACTAAGATGATTAAAGACCTGGAGACAAAAACGTTGCAGGATTTGGGTTTGGCTAGTCTAGAGAAAAGAAGGACTAGGGGGACATGATAGCAGTATTCCAGTACTGGAGAGGTTGCCACAAAGAGCAGGGGGTCAATTTATTTTCCAAAGGACCAGAAGGCAAGACAAGAAGCAATGGATGGAAACTAATCAAGGAGAGAAGCAACCTGGAATTAAGGGAAAACTTCCTGACAGTGAGGACAATTAACCAGTGGAACAGCTTTGCCTTCAGAAGTTGTGGATGCTTCATCACTGGAGGTTTTTAAAGAGAGACTGGACAGCCACCTGTATAGGATCCCCGGCTTGAGCAGTGGACTGGACTAGAACAGGGCTTTTCAACCTTTTCACCCACTGTACCACTCTTAGGATATGGCAACATCCGAGTACCACCAGTCGCCTAGCAAGGTGTCAAAAACTTGATGACCAAAAAAAAAAAAAAGGGAGAAAAGTGATGAAGTACAGGTAGTCCTTGACTTACAACAGTTCGCTTAATTACTGTTTGAAGTTACAACGGCAATGAAAAAAGTGCCCCCCAAGCCACAGCCGAGCAAGACACCTGCCTGCCCACCCGGCGGCGGTCTTCCTCCTGTCCGAGGTTTTCATTGTTGTGAGCATTTCTGTTGGGGATTGGCAGCAGGGGTAGGGTGGGGGAGTGTTTGGTTTTTATTCCCCCCGTCTGCTGGGTGGTTGCAGCAGGTTTTGGTCACTTCACATGACCCTGGGACACTGTGACCGTCATAAATATGAATCAGTTGCCAAGCATCTGAATGTAAATCACAAGACCCTGGAGATGCTGCAACATTCCGGCTGATCGGCGCTTCTTCTGGGCTCAGCAGAAGCGCCAGGATCAGCGCCGAGCTTCAGCTGGAGCCTGGCGCTGATCCTGGCGCTTCCGCTGAGCCCTGACAACCCCGAAGAAGCATTGATCCTGCCACTTCTGCTGAGCCCTGACAGCCCTGCAGCTCCAGCCATCTCTCGCTCAGGCTTGTGCAGTGCTGCCACCGATTCAGCTCTTTCCCCTCCCCCGCTACCACTTTTCTAGGATGGTCGCGTACCACTTGCCAGGTGCCAATGTACCACAGGTGGTACCCGTACCATTGGTTGAAAAGCCCTGGACTAGAAGACCTCCAAGGTCTCTTCCAGCTCTATTCTGATTGACTGAAAGTTGGCAAGGTTGAGAAACGCTGACTTAGAAAACAGGTTAACACTGGAATCCTTTTAATGTTTTCTTGTGCTTCTTCCCATCAGATGTCGTGGATGCTCGCTGTAATTTGATGAAGCCATACGAAATTATAGGAGGCAAAACAGTAGTGCTGGAGAACGACACATTGCTTCAGTATATATGCCCAGATGGCCAATATCCATACCCTACCGAGTACCGGAAATGCGAGCAGGGCGGGTACTGGAGCACTATGAGAAATAAAGAGGACAGGGTCATCTCCCAGGCGAGGTGCCAAGGTATAATTTAAATTTTAAAAAAGAGAGCCTGCCTTTCAGCTGGCCATGAAAGCAATGACACAGTGAGGGGATGTCGTGTTCTGGAGCTCGTACTTTTAGGTCCTCTTTTGATTTCATGGGGGACTCATAGCTTTGCTGGCATCCAAATGTGTTTCAGCTCCATCTGAAACCTTCCTGCTCGTCTTCTGCTACCAGGGATGCTGAGCATTTACTCCAAAGATGAGACCTAACGGTTTTACTATTAAAAAAATTGGTATCATCTTATCTTAGAAGTCTTTCTTCCTCATTGAATTGGGGTTGACATCAAAGAAAATACTAGATATATAAATTGGACGGTCTATATTGCCAACCCTATTCTACCTCCACAACAAGGTCAGAACATGTGTGGTCCTTTAAAAACTATCATCAGTGACTCTCTTTAACCATGGGATTGGGATAAGTCAGGGGCCTTCAAACTTGGCCCTTTTATGACTTGTGGACTTCAATTCTGGGAGTTGAAGTCCACAAGTCATAAAAGGGACAAGTTTGAAGACCCCTGGGATAAGTGAATATAAGTGGCTGCTTGGTTGTGTGTTGAGGTGCCACTAGTGCAGGGGTCTTCAAACTTGGCCCTGGCTGAGGAATTCTGGGAGTTGAAGTCCACAAGTCATAAAAGGGCCAAGTTTGAAGACCCCTGCACTAGTGACATTACAGCCAGAAAGATGCTCTTCATTTATTATCTGTCAGTCTATTTCTGAACACAGCTTAGCGTGAACAGAAAGGGAGTGGTGCCCCAACATTGAAAGAAGCAGTGGAATGTTTTTCCCAAAAGTACTTTTTTCAAAAGGCAACTAGACTTTTTGGGGTTTTTTTCCTTGAAAACATTTTGCTTCTCATTCAAGAAGCTTCTTCAGCTCTTGGATGAGAAGTGAAACATTTTCAAGGGAAAAAACCCCAAAAAGTCCAGTTGTTTTTTGAGATTGAGAATCTCCATGGCCATTTATTTAGTGGTGTGTTTATTTCTCAAGAGGTAATCCTTTGGTCCAACCATTCTGGACAAGTTCTGACCCATCTCAAGTTATCCCTTCGGAGGGAAGGTGACAAAGATGGTGGTAGGGTGTCAACTACAGAAGATCTTGAATGAAGCGTATTATCTACATTCCTCTCAATCTGGGTTAAGGCGACTACATGGGTTGTTCTTATGGATGACCAGCAATGTGGGCTGGATGGAGGAAGTACAATCCTCCTTGTCCTGCTGGTTCTCTCAGCAACACAGAAAGTCTGAAATTCTGTTATAAGGTGTTACAGGTGTTGTTTTTACCTCATACGCCGGTTCCAGTTAGGGGAGCTGGACAACACCTCTGCACAATTTCATATGCTGAATATTGAAATAGCTCAAGAAAGAGAGGAGAGGATTAATTTGTTGAGGTGGGATGAGTTAGAGAATATAACCTTGAAGTACTCAATCCTGCTTACTGATAACGTATTATTCTTTTCAGATATCCGCTGCCCCAGGATTGCAGAATTTGAAAATGGTTACTTTGAGCCCCCGCAGCCATATTACAATATAAGCCAGAACATCACATTTACTTGCTATGGAGGATACAGCATGAAGGGGTCTGAAGTCCGCTTCTGCCTTCCCAATGGGAAATGGAGTGGAAAAACAACCATTTGTGATGATGGAAGTGAGTGTGAAAATTAATTGCTATTCAGACTTCCTTTCCTTTTCTGTCTTCGAAAACACAACATCAGTTTTTATCTTCCATCATCTAAACCAGTGATGGCGAAACTTTTAGAGACCGAGTGCCCAAAAACTGGCCACACCCCTGCTTCACCCCCTGCCTCGCCCCTACCCCGTCTGCCCGCAGGGCCACTCATCGCCTCCAGGGCCTGCCGCAGATCGCCCAGGCAGCCCAGCAGTGCCATGGCGGCCACGCCCTCTGCCTGCGGCCCGCAGCATCAACTGTGCGAGATGGGGCATGAGGGCAGAGTCTTATCTACGCTGCCTGGCTGCCATGTCCTTGGCTGCGCTGCTCCACATGGGCCACACTCGGGGGTGACTCTCCTCCAGGGGGGATGCTGGTGAGGAGGAGGTCGTGGGGGGAAGCAAGGCTGGGGCAAAGGCACGTGTGCCCACAGAGAGGGCTCCGAGTGCCGCCTCTGGCACCCGTGCCATAGGTTCGCCGCCACTGCCCTAACACTGCCCTTTTCTGGAGAGCTTTGACATTGTTCCTGGCATCTGTTGGTGCCACTCGCCCACCTTAGGAGTCACAGCCCTGAGTGCCCCTATTGCCACTGAGACCACTTTGGTCTTTACTTTCCACACCCTTTCTTTATTATAGAGTACATTATAGTATGCATGTATATGTATAATTTTGTTAAAGCCTTTAAAACAGAAGTTAAAAATTAATGCAAACTAATACATAGAACAGTGGTTCTCAACCTTTTTAATGCCACGACCCCAACCGGTCGTAAGTCGAGGACTAAACCGGTCGTAAGTCGAGGACTAAACCGGTCGTAAGTCGAGGACTAAACCGGTCATAAGTCGAGGACTACCCAACCGGTCGTAAGTCGAGGAATTTCCCTGCCCAGGAGCGCTGCGCATGCGTGGTTCCGCCCCCTGTGCCGGCCGAGGCGTAGCTGGCAAGCGGCAGAGACGGAGCAGGCCGACCACCAGCTGGCCCAGCCCAAGGGAGGTAAGGCACCCGCCGGAAAAGGGGAAAAAATGGCAGACAAAAAAAATGGCGGACAAAAAAAATGGCGGACAGCCTTGCTTGGCGACCCCCGTGAAATGGTCGATCGACCCCAAATGGGGTCCCGACCCACAGGTTGAGAACCACTGACATAGAACAAAAGAGAAAAGAAAGAATGCAGATAGAAAGGGGAAAGTGCCAGAAAAAAAGTTAAAGAAAAATAGATACAAAGCAGTGGTTTCTGATATTCTTCATAGCAGTTATACGTGCAATTGTATTTTAACCTCTCTCTCTAAAGTTACGTCCTAATACTCTTCTTTCTATATTTCAACCTGTCTAATCATCACCATAAATTACAAGTTGTTTTTTTTCATTTTCACGCAAAAAGTCCACAAGAGTTTTCTAGTCTCTGAAAAATGTTGCCTTATTGGCAAGATAGGCGGTATATAAATTTAATACATAAATAGAATAAAAATTGTAAATAGTGTCTTTCTCTAAAAAGTTAGTTTATCCATCTCAGCAAGCTTTGTCAATTTCATCAACCATTCCTCCATAACAGATAGAGTTGAATCTTTCCATCTCTGCATACAATAATCTCACTGCAGGAATCATATACTGAAATAATCTTTCAAGGCTCTTTTCTAAATATTTATCCATTAGTCCAAAAAGGAAAAAGTTCTTTCAATTTTAATCTTTAAAATCCTCTGTATCAAAGTGTGTATTTGAATCCAAGGTTTTTTTTTAGCTTTTTTACATGTCTACCAAGTATGATATTATGACCATGTTGTTCACATTTCCAACATAAAATTTGAAGCAACTTTATACAGTATATTCTGGATAATTTATCTAGTGTCATGTACCAATGATACATTATTTTATAGAAATGCTGTTTCAGGTGAACACACAATGTAAATTTCAACCCTTTTAACCACATGTATTCCCATTGATCCATTTGTATATTAAACCAAAATTCTTTATCCACTTTATCATACATTATTTAACTTTCTCTGTTTTTCCTCTGTTTCAAATTTAAATAGAAGTTTATACATTTTAGCATTAGCGTGCAATTATAATTCAAACTCTTTCTTACTTTGTTCCATATTGTAAGTATTTTCTATTCATGTTGAAGCTTTCTGTAACTGTAAATGGGAAAACCATTGACAAATATATCCTTGTGCTATTAATTGCTGTCTTGGTTTTAAGTTCAAATTCCCTTTGATGATTTTCCAATATTTCCTGGAATATCAGCCATTTGTCTTTTTCTGCAGTTTCTCTTCTATAATATAGTTCTTGAGCTGAGATCCATAAAAGTGTTTTCAGGCACATCCTGGGTTTATATCTGTTTCATACTGTATCCTCAGTATGGCATGTCTAATAAAATGAATTTTGAAATCTATATTAATTTTAACTTTATCATACCATAAATATCCATGCTATCCAAACTTCAGGTCTAAAAAAATCACTTGTGATTTTTGTGAAGTACAATTTCAAACCTGGTAAACCTCTTTTCTTTGCATCTTGTAACACTTTATATGTAACCTGTGGTGTTTTTTTTTTCCTTTGCCACATAAATTTAGATAATTTTTGTGCCATTATTCAAATGGTTCATCAATTATCAAACCAGGAATTGTCGGAAACAAAAACATCATTTTGGCAAAACATTTAATTTTTATTACCGAGGTTCTCCCCAACAATGACAATTTTAATTTCTCCCACCTTAACAAGTCCTTCTTAATTTAATTCCATGTCTTAATGAAATTATTATGAAAATAGCATACAATGCATATTGTCAGAGTAATACCCAAACATTTTACTTTTTCCTCAGTCTTAAATCTAGTACTCTCTGTAAGTTCTATTTGGTCTAATTTCATATTTTTTGTTGACATCTTCGTCTTCTGATTGTTAATCTTATAACCTGCTAACATACCAAGTCCTTTCATTTTCCCATTAATGTTTCTATTCCCTTTAACGGATCTTCCAAAATTAAAACCAAATGATTGCAAATGCCTCAATTTATATGTTTCTTTTTTAAAATTAACCCCCTCTTAATTCTCTCATCTTGTCTTCTCTCTCTGTTCATTACCTCAAGAACTAACATGAACAAGAGTAGAGAAAGATTCCCTTTTTGAATCCCACATTTTGCTTTAATTCGTAGCTTTTTGAGGAACGAAAGATATTTCATGTACGCATAATGTGTTTGTTGCTAACTGCATAGACTTCAAAGTGACTATTTATTAATGGTGTCCTCTCTTCTCCTACCTAGCTGGTCATTGCTCTAACCCCGGTATTCCAATTGGTGGTCGAAAAGAAGGCAATGAATATCGGGTAGAATATCGTGTCCGCTACACTTGTGAGCGTGGTCTCATTCTTGTGGGATCCAGTGAACGGATTTGCCAAGAATCAGGAAGCTGGAGTGGATCAGAACCACAGTGTCGGCGTGAGCAAAGGGGAAAGAATACCTAATGGGATGAATATTGGGGTTAAATATAGGTAGTCCTCGACTTACAACAGTTCATTTAGTGACCGTTCGAAGTGACAACGGCACAGAAAAGAAGTGACTTATGATTGTTTTTCACACTTACAACCATTGCAACATCCCCATGGTCATGCGATCAAAATCTGGATGCTTGGCAACTGGCTCATATTGATGACCATTGCCGTGTCCCAGGGTCACGTGATCCCCTTTTGCAACCTTCTGACAAGCAAAGTCAATGGGGAAGCCGGATTCGCATAACAACGGTGGCAAGAAAAGTCATAAAATGGAGCAAAACTCCCTTAACAAATCTCTCCCTTTAACAACAGAATTTTGGGGCTCAATTGTGGTTGTAAGTCGAGGACTATCTGTACTGAAAATGTGAACCCTGGGGTTGTGAGAGGAATTCTTGATTACAAAAGTTATTGTATAGGAATAACGCACCTTCATCATGGTTTGGTTTGGTTGCTGCATTCAGGGGTTATGTCAGGAGGCAAGCTTCGGATATAATGTTAGGTGACCTGACTTCTCTCTAGTTTTACTTGCTTTCCCATCCTCCTTGCAAAAGTTCTTCCTAGCCCTATTAAGGCATTTCTATTACACAACTGAGGGCCAGTTTGGTGTAGTGGGTAAGGCATCAGACTAGAAACCAGGAGGCAGTGCGTTCCTTAGGCAACCTGGGTGACCATGGGCCACCCCAACGATGCCGTGGAAGTAATGTCCCGGTGCCTGGAGGCCATGCGAGTCTGGATGGGGAGGAACAGGCTTCGACTCAACCCGTCCAAGACCGAGTGGCTGTGGTTTCCGGCATCACGACATAGCCTGTTGGCTCCATCCCTGGCTATCAGGGGCAAGTCATTAGCCCCCGCAGAGAGGGCCCGCAACTTGGGCGTCCTCCTGGACACTCGGCTGTCTTTAGACGATCATATGACAGCCGTGGCCAGGGGGGCTTTTCATCAGGTTCGCCTGATACGCCAGTTGCGCCCCTTTCTGGATCGTGACGCTCTACGCACGGTCACTCAAGCCCTCGTTGTTTCCCGCCTGGACTATTGCAATGCTTTCTACATGGGGCTCCCCTTGAGGTGCACCTGGAGGCTCCAGCTAGTTCAGAATGCGGCCGCGCAGGGGATTTTGGGGGCCTCTAGATACTCCCATGTAACACCTCTCCTGCGTGAGCTGCACTGGCTGCCTGTGGCCTTCCGGGTGCGCTTCAAGGGGTTAGTAACAACCTTTAAAGCGCTCCATGGCAATGGACCTAGGTATTTGCAAGACCGCCTCCTACCAAATACCTCCCTTCGACCAGTCCGCTCCCACAGAGAGGGCCTCCTTAGGGTGCCGTCGGCCAGTCAATGCCGGCTGGCGACCCCCCTTCTCTGTGGCAGCTCCTGCCCTCTGGAATGACCTACCCTCCGACCTACGTACAACTGCGGACCTGCGCCTTTTTCGCCGAGCCCTGAAAACCCATCTATTCCATGCGGCCGGCCTGGCGTAGTCTTAATTATGTTTTAATACAGGTTTTATATGGGGTATTTTAGAGCAGGCCTTTATTTATTTCATCTGATTTTAGAATAGATATTTATTGTGATTTTTATTATCGCCTGTTCACCGCCCTGAGTCCCGTAAGGGAGATAGGGCGGTATATAAATTTAAACAAACAAACAAACAAACAAACTTTCTCTGAGCCCTAGCAAGGAGAAATGACAAATCACTTCTGAAAAACTTTGTCAAGGAAACTGCAGGAACTTGTTCCAGATAGACAGAATATTATTTTTTTTACTACTTTATGTAGTAGGTGGTAGTGGTGGGGAATCAGCCCTGGGTTTCTGTTAGAGTTAGTTGATGAAATTCGCCCTAAGGAACACCGTAACTTCAACACAAAGATTGGGTCAGATCTCAGAGCTTTGCTTTATCACCAGTCAAGAAGTCACAATAAATATCATTTTAAGGAATGCGCATCTGAAAAATAGCCGTCGTCTGAAAGCTGAATACAAAATCAGGAAAGAAACTTCCTTGTAATATGTATTTTACCTCAGGGGGATTCGTTTACTTATTTTTTTTAGGTTTGTGCTGGCAAAGAGTCTTTTGACTGCGGTGCACATGTATTTATTATTTATTTATTCATTAAGCAAATTTATACGGCTGCCCAACTGACACACAATGACTCTGGGCAGCTTACAGTATCCTGTCCCATTTGTGTCAGAGACACCTTTTAAGGGGCTTCCCGGTTGAACAGATTAGCCGGTGACATCACTGTTGCCTTTGGGGGGGAGCTCGTTCCATCTTCTCATCAAGGAGCTGGAGGGAATGACAGGAGCTCACCCCGCCATGCAGCAGCACTCGGGTCTCAAACGTGGGTTTGCTAACCTCCAACCCGGTGTCCTAACAACGTGACCACCTTGCTCCTAGCTTACAACATTAAAAAATTCAAAGCATAAACCCCATATAACCCTCCCCCACACCCTATCGGTGGCAAGAACCGCAAGAATATCAATCACTTGATAGGCTCCATGTTGGCCTTGAGTCCCCACGTCCACAGACAGAATCAGATCTTCAGAGCCTTTCAGAAAAGTAACAAGGTGGGGATCAATTGTGTCTCCAGGGAAGTGATATTCCATGGGAAACATCACACAAATAAATATCAAACATATAAGCAAGCTTTGTGTAAGAAAAACAAAAACAAAAAACCAGTCATCAAGAAAATGGGAGAAGAGAAAATTATCTCAAAGAATGTTTCAGTAATAATAAAGTATTTTTTGCTAAAAATAAATAAATGAACACATAAAAGCTATATATAACAGAACAGAAATATTAGTTACATATGTGATGACATATAGTCTCCCTAAAATGGACCAAATTGAGAACACTAGAGGGTCTCCTATGTTTATCCCAAAGGGCCCCAGAGCAGCAAAATGTGCAACTTCCCTTCTTAATATTTCAATACTAGTTTGCATAAAAATTAGTTCTATTTATTTTAGGGAATTCTCTTTTATGATCTGTTGCTGATTGAGCCTTCTCTTGTTCCTTCCCAGAGCCATTTGCTTATGACACCCCAGAAGAGGTTGCTTCCAACTTCATCTCATCTTTGACTGAAACGGCTGAGGTTGCAGATGCCAATAGAAATATCTGTAAGTCTTTGTAAATGGAATGGATAATTATAATTCCCTTCCTAGCCTAACAAGAGAGAGAGCACAGTTATGTTGTTAATGCTCTCAATTTCTCTGAGTAGTAAATATTCTAGGACAATTTAATGCAGTGGTTCTCAACCTTTTTAATGCCGCGACCCCCAAGTCGAGAACTAAACCGGTCGTAAGTCGAGGACTACCCAACCAGTCGTAAGTCGAGGACTTTCCCTGCCCGGGAGTGCCGCGCATGCGTGGTTCCGCCCCCTGCGCCGGCCGAGGCGTAGCTGGCAAGTGGCAGAGACAGAGCAGGCCGACCACCAGCTGGCCCAGCCCAAGGGAGGTAAGGCACCCGCCGGAAAAGGGGAAAAAATGGCGGACAAAAAAAATGGCGGACAGCCTTGCTTGGCAACCCCCGTGAAATGGTCGATCGACCCCAAATGGGGTCGCAACCCATAGGTTGAGAATCGCTGATTTAATGGAAAGTCATTTCAATATAGAAAAAAGACCACCGAGCAGTTTTTTTTAAAAAAAACAACAACAATCCCTCTTATTTCCATTCAAGAACGTTAATTAACAGAACTCATTGACACTGATTATGTTACCTAGTTGGGTAATGAAATGTCTGCAAGCTAACAACCAAGCTTAGAAAGCATCAAGGACTCTGTCGCTCAACTCTGAGTTACAAAGATTCTCTTCTATGAGAATTGTTAAAAGCATTACAACTAAGATATTGCATAATATTTTTGTAAATATTCAAGCAGATCATTAGTTGAGGAAAAATGGAAGTAAATATCTAGGGCGCTTCCAAGGCAGAAGATTCTACCCATAATATCTTGGGCATATGTCTATTGCTATGAAGCCCGTTGTTTCTCTGTGGATGCCTGTTAGATTGACAGCTGCTGTTACTCATAGACATATCGGTCTGCTACCTTCTTCTGAACCATCTTCCAGCTCTGGATTAAATCTCACCTCCAAATGCAGAGATGTTCCTAGTTATCAAAGGAATAGCTCCTGAGTGTAATTTCCATTAATGAAATTTGCAGCAGTATATTGTGGTGCAGAAATCTAGTACATTGTGGTAGAATGTCCAAAATATCAAAATTACACGTAACTGAGAAAACAAGACGTGAATACTAGTTCTTTTCCTCTCCAGCCTCTACACAGAAGCGAAAGATTGTCATTAAGAAAGGAGGCACAATGAACATCTACTTTCTCCTTGATGCCTCAAAAAGTATTAAACAAGAGGATTTCAACAGTACACAGAATGCTACAATCAAGTTGATTGAAAAGGTATGGAAGAATCAGATAATTTCTTTGCTCAGTCCTGTACCAAGTCCGACACTAGTTATAAACCAGTGTTCATCAAACTTCACCCCTTTAAGGCATGTGGACTTTAATACCCAGAATTCCCCAGCAAGCATGATGACATTATAAGGCAGAGATAGACCATTTTTTAGATCAAGGGAACACTGGAAATGTGGAGAGCCACTGAGAAATGGCTGTCGCTGTGAGCATGGCCCAACATAACATTCTTGTTAGCTTCACAAAATATTCTCTACCATCCCATGCAGGGGTCTCCAACTTTGGCAATTTTACAAGTTGTGGACTTCAGTTCCCAGAATTCCTCAGCCAGGAACTCATCTTTAGGGAACTTCTCTCTAGAAGGACTTCAGCACGAGTCCAAAAGCTCGGAAGACAAAACCTCTGGTCCTGATAACAGACCCAGATTGGATCCTGCATAAGAAGAACAGTTATAGGAACTGGGTTTGTCTAGTCTAGTGAAAAGAAAGACTAGGGATGACATCATAATAGTCTTCTAAGGGGCTGCCATAAAGAAGAAGGGGTCAACTTATTCTCTAAAGCATCTGAAAGCAGGAGAAGTAGTAATGGATGGAAACTAACATACTGTAGAATAGAATAGAATAGAGTAGAGTAGAGTAGAGTAGAGTAGAGTAGAGTAGAGTAGAGTAGAGTAGAGTAGAGTAGAGTAGAGTAAAGCACATATCCACCCCGGGCCACCCCAACGATGCCCTTGACGTGATGACCCGGTGTCTGGAGGCCGTGAGGGTCTGGATGGGGAGGAACAGACTCAGGGTCAACCCTTCCAAGACCGAGTGGCTGTGGCTACCGGCGCCTCGGCATAGTCAGCTGGTTCCATCGCTGACTATAGGGGGCGAAATGTTGGCCCCCTCGGATAGGGTGCGCAATCTGGGTGTCCTCCTGGATTCACGGCTGACACTGGATGACCAGTTGGCGGCCGTGACCAGGGGGGCGTTTTATCAGGTCCGCCTGATTCACCAGTTGCGGCCTTTTCTGGACCGGGACGCCTTGCGCACAGTCACCTCCCGCCTGGACTACTGTAATGCTCTCTACATGGGGCTTCCCTTGAAGAGCACCCGGAGGCTCCAGCTAGTCCAAAACGCGGCCGCGCGGGCGGTGTTGGGAGGGACTCGTCGCTCCCACGTAACGCCGCTGCTGCGCGAGCTGCATTGGCTGCCGGTGGCCTTCCGGGTGCGCTTCAAGGTGCTGACTATCATCTTTAAGGCGCTCCATGGCAGCGGACCGGGATACCTTCGAGACTGCCTCCTGCCACAGATTACCTCCCATCGGCCTGTACGCTCCCACAGGGTGGGCCTCCTCAGGGTGCCGTCGGCCAGACAGTGCCGGCTGGCGACCCCAAGGGGGAGGGCCTTCTCTGTGGGTGCTCCCACCCTCTGGAATGAGCTGCCCCCAGAGATCAGGGTGATCCCTGATCTCCCTTCCTTCCGCCGCGCCCTTAAGACATGGCTATTCCAACAAGCGGGACTGGCCTAGGGTAATTTTTTAGAGGGGTTTTAACTATATTTTAATTAGACAACATTTGAATATTTCTTTTTAACTAATTTTAAATTTTGTAATTGTTTTTGGTGTATTTTAAATTGATTGTCAGCCGCCCTGAGTCCGCAAGGAGAAGGGCGGGATATAAATTCAAATAAACTAAACTAAACTAAACTAGAGTAGAGCAGAGTAGAGTAGAGTAGAGTAGAATAGAATAGAACAGATCAAAGTACAGTTTAGGTAAGACCTGGCTCAAAAACTGTAACTGTGAGAGGGACCTTGGAGTCCTAGTGGATGATCACTTGACTATGAGCCAGCAGTGTGCAGCAGCAGCCAAAAAAGCTAATACAATCCTGGGTTGTATAAACAGAGGCACAGAATCAAGATCACACAAAGTATTAGAACCGCTTTATAAAACCCTAGTGAGACCACATCTGGAATACTGCATCCAGTTTTGGTCACCATACTACAAAAAAGATGTTGAGACCTTGGAAAAAGTTCAGAGAAGAGCAACTAAGATGATCCAAGGCTTGGAGACTTAAGCATATGAAGAATGGCTGCAGGACTTGAGCTTGGCTAGTGTAAAGAAAATAAAAAATAGGGGTGACATGATAGCAGTAGTCCAGGATTTGAGGGGCTGCCATAAAGAAGAGGGGGTCAAATTATTATCCAAAGCACCAGAGGGCAGGACAAGAAATAATGATTGGAAACTGATCAAAGAGAGAAGCAACCTGAAATTGAGAAACTTCCTAACAATGAGGACAATTAACCTATGGAACAGCTTGCCTCCAGAAATCATGGGTGCTCCATCAGTGGAGGTTTCTAAGTAGAGACTGGAAGAGTCACTTGTCTGAGATGGTATAGGTTCTCCTGCCTGAGCAGTGGGCTGGACTAGAAGACCTCCAAGGTCCCTTCCAGTTCTGTTCTATTCTATTCTATTCTATTCTATTCTATTCTATTCTATTCTATTCTATTCTATTCTACTGCCCTTGAGACTGAATGTTAATGAACCTAGTTGAGAAATGCAGTCATGCTTCTTTTTGTCTTCTGGTTTCCCTTTGCAGATCTCCAGCTATGATGTCTCCCCCAATTACGCCCTCATCACTTTTGCCACAAACAGCATAGAGATTGTGAACACAATGCAGGCAGAGAGCACTGATGCAGCCAGGGTGATTGAGCTACTGGAAAATGTCAACACTGCTGGTGAGGTATATTCCTGATCTTTGCCAGGGAGATAGGTCTGGCTAGGAGAACATTTTGCTCATCCACAACCTGTTTAATTTTATAACTCAAACAAGAAGTCTTTTTCTTACTTGGAATATAGGTAACTTCACACACTTACGTGGCACTCTGTAGCCCTTTCCGTTCTATTCCAAGAAACGTCTGCATCCTTTCCCTTACATTCCCTTTCTAAATTCTGCTGGGAATTTTATAATTTGTTTATACGCCACTAAAATATGGTGGCGTAATTCAGAACCTCACATTCTCCTTGCATGCTTTGCAAATTTTCTGCCTTTTATCATCAGTCATGCTTCAGTTCCTCTTTGTGGAGTAGGCAGGAATAGATTTACACTTCAACCATGTATTTGAAACCAACAGGGTTTCCCCTCCCCCTAAAATCACCCTTCTTGGATCTCCAAATGGAATGACCATTTTTTTTGTACTCTTCGCTTCTCATCTCTTCTCACCAATACACTCATAGAATCTAGCAGAAAAAAAAATTCCTCTGAATTGGGGTTAATCAAAATATTCTTCATTTTTTTCTCCAAGGTCATTCCTGGTTCTTTCATTATCACCATCCATTGTAGTCTGACAGGGAACTAATACCCATCTATGATTCCTACTTACCCACAACAACCCGCAAGACGTCTAGCCTATCCTAGTGACTTATACTTAGTTGCTTGATAATTCATTTTACTCAAGGTCAAGAGATAAGACCGGTAATAGTAAAAACAAGCAAACCAACCAGAGTCTCAAATGCTTGCCCAGATGATTTGCTGTTACTCTACAACAGAGTGCACAGAGAAATAATCCAAAATCAGCCTAAGGTTCTGAGAGCCAGGTCAGGATTGTCAGCCAATACCAATGTCAGAAGTTCAAGGTTTCTTACAGGAACGGGATTCATAGGAGGGTCTAGGACAATTTGCACCAGCCACATTTTCACACACCCACTTCTTCATGGGCCTCCACTGTAGTTGACCCACCACCAGCATTTACACACGGTGGGGCCTCCACTGTTGCTCCTGCCCTGCCTGCTTTTCCCAGCTCATTCACCAAGGGACGTTTGGCCCCAGGCGTTTCACTGTGTGGGACACTTAAATGTGCCTTCCACTGGCTGGGTGGGACGGATGCCTGGCACAGCCCCCCTAGCAGCACTGACAGCAGTGGCAGCAGCCCGGTCAGTGGTTGCTCCCCACCATGGCCCTGCTGCATTTCTAGACATGTCATGGCCAAAGGGGGGATTAGCCCCACCGGCATCTACTGGCCCACATCCCGCTCAGGAAGGGCTGAAAGGTGAGCACGAGTCCCGTCTGTAACCAGAGCCTTGGTGCACGTGCAGGCAGGCCCTCTCCTCCTGGGAGGGCCTTTCTTGAATTTATTCCCTTGCTTGGCAAATGGATCAGCTGTCTGCAATCCTTCAGTTAATAACCACGGCAAACAAGATTATAAAATCAGGTAGATCATGTGATAAACCCGATTTACAACTGTTATGACATACAAAAATAATGGGCAGAGTCCTCCCATACTACCCATATAGTAGCCAATATACTGTTGTCCACATTCTACCAACTAGGACAGTGGTGACGAACCTATGGCATGGGTGCCAGAGGTGGCACTCAGAGCCCTCTCTGTGGGCACGTGCGCCGTCGCCCTAGTCCTAGGCCTTCAGCTGGATTTTATAAAACCTTTTCGCTTTAGGCCTCTGCCGCTGTGTGCAAAAAAAAAAAAAGGATCAATCAATCCGTCAATTTCAACTTCTCGTGGGAAAAAAAAAGATCTTGCAAAGTTGGAATTGATTGAACTTTTTAGTCCCATCCAGTTTGCCATTACCACCGCAGCTGTGCCCACCCAATGGGCCACACCCACCCAATGGGCCACATCCACCCAATGGGCCACACCCACTCGGCACCCGATGATGCATAAGTGGGTTTTGGGTTGCAGTTTGGGCACTCGGTCTCTAAAAGGTTCGCCATCACTGAACTAGGAAGTATTAATACACATTCAAAATGCTTCATAACAAAGGAATTCTTGAGACTGAGAAACGTTGAATACTGAAGAACGGCAACAGTTGATGTTTTTCTGAAGCGAAGTCTGAAGCTCAATTAGGTTATATTGCTGCTATATATATGTAGCCTGAGTAGCAAATGAGATCTGCTAAGACTGCTAGCCAACTGCAAATAATTGTGTTCATTTTTCTCCTTTTATCTCTTCCCTTTTTTTCTCTCTAGAGCATAAGAAAAAATCAGGAACCAACCTCAAAAAGGCCTTGACAACTGTCTATGAAATGATGATTTCCCAGGAAGCTGAGGAGAAGAGACTTAAATTAAATCCTCCTCCTATTTCCAATTCCACCCGCCATGTGATCATCCTCCTGACGGATGGTGAGAAAATGAATACCTAAAAAAAAACAACTTTATTTTTTAATTTTTGCGGCTACTTTTTAATATTTAGCAGGGCAGATACTTTAATATTTGTTTGAAAGCACCTTTATGCTATTTATTTAATCGATATATTCCTTAATTTGCAGTTTAAATAAAATTTAGACAGGGCCCAGTTTTTTTCTTAATATGTATATTCAGGAAAAGTTGCTTTGTATTTTTATCCTTTCCCCCCTCATCCTCCAGAATCCAGAATCCACAGGTTCAAACCTCTTGCTATGTGTGTACCCCCCCCCCCAGTGGTGGGATTCAAATATGTGAACAACCGGTTCTCTGTGTGGATTCCGCTTCCGGAAATCCATTTTGGGCCTGAGCAAAAAAAAATAATTAGCTACTAGTTCTGTTGAACTGGTGCGAACTGGCTGAATCCCACCACTGAACCTCCGCCCACTTTTTTAAATAACTTTTTTATTCAAAAAATTAAAGTAGAGTCTAAAATATTGTACAAAAACAAAACAAAAAATAGAGTATTTAAAAATCTGCATTAAAAAGAACAAAAAAGACAAACACAAACCGATATACATATATTATCCAACTTAGTTGAATATTGATAAATATATTGTAACAATGTTAGTTTCCCCCTCTTTTGGAACCAAGCCCCAAATTTTTAAACTTCTACCTCTATTTATAACTTATTTGACCTGCCATCTATCTACTATATTAAAAACAGTCAACAGTCAAAGCAACAGCAAAATTAAAGTTTCAAAACATAATAATAATAATAATAATAATAATAATAATAATAATAATAACAACAACAATAATAATAATAATAATAATAATAAAGTTGGAAGGGACCTTGGAGGTCATCTAGTCCAACCCCCTGCTCAAGCAGGAAACCCTATACCAGTTGTGGCGAACCTATGGCACGGGTGCCAGAGGCGGCACTCAGAGCCCTCTCTGTGGGCACGCACGCCATCACCCCAGTCCTAGGCCTTCAGTTGGGTTTTATAAAACCTTTTCGCTTTAGGCCGCGTGCAAAAAAAAAAAGTTTCACTCAGTCAATTTCAACTTCTCACGGTAAAAAAAAAGATCTTGCAAAGTTGGAATTGATTGAACTTTTTAGTCCCACCCAGTCTGCCGTTACCATCGCAGCCACGCCGCCAATGAGCCACACCCACCCAATGGGCCACACCCACCTGGCACTCGACGATGCATAAATGGATTTTGGGTTGCAGTTTGGGCACTCGGTCTCTAAAAGGTTCGCCATCACTGCCCTATACCATTTCGGACAAATGGCTGTCCAGTCTCTTCTTAAAAACTTCCAGTGATGGAGCATTCACCGCTTCTGGAGGCAGGTTGTTCCACTGGTTAATTGTTCTAAGTGTCAGGAAGTTTCTCCTTAGTTCTAGGTTGCTTCTCTCCTTGATTAGTTTCCATCCGTTGCTTCTTGTCCTGCCTTCAGGCGCTTTGGAAAATAGCTTGACTCCCTCTTCTTTGTGGCAGCCCCTGAGATATTGGAACACTGCTATCATGTCTCCCCTCTTCCTTCTCTTCATTAAACTAGACATACCCAATTCCAGCAACCGTTCCTTATATGCTTTAGCCTCCAGTCCCCTAATCATCTTTGTTGCTCTTCTCTGTACTCTTTCTAGAGTCTCAACATCTTTTTTTACATTGTGGTGACCAAAACTGGATGCAGTATTCCAAGTGTGGCCTTACCAAGGCATTGTAAAGTGTTATTAACACTTCACGTGATCTTGATTCTATCCCTCTGTTAATGCAGCCTAGCACTGTGTTGGCCTTTTTGGCAGCTGCAGCACACTGCTGGATCATATTTAAGTGATTGTCCACTAGGACTCCGAGATCCCTCCCACGGTTACTACTATTGAGCAAGGTACCCCCTATACTATACCTGTACATTTGGTATACTATACCTGTACATTTGCCTAAATGTAGAACCTTGCTTTTTTCACCATTGAATTTCATTTTGTTAGATAGCGCCCAGTGTTCAAGTCTGTCCAGATCCTTCTGTATCTTAAGCCTGTCTTCTGGAGTGTTGGCTATTCCTGCCAGCTTGGTGTCGTCTGCAAATTTGATGAGTTCCCCATCTATCCCCTTGTTCAAATCGTTGATGAAGATGTTGAAGAGCACTGGGCCCAGAACAGAGCTCTGGGGCACCCCACTACACACTTCCCTCCATTAACATTATTTTATTTAACTTGCAGACAGTCTACCATGACTTCTTTATCTATTTCAAATCACCACAAGAGTTATCTCTGATCCACCCTGGAACAAATATCCTGATTTGCTTCCTAATAACATCAATTGTTGCCTGATTAAATATAGTAAATCCATTCTCCAAAGTTGATCTATCTTCCCAAAAAGCCCAGTCAAATTTGTTTTCCAATTGGATATAATAAGTCCATTCCCCAATCTCCATCAATCTTTAAAAAAAAATCCAATGCATCACTCATCAAGTCTATCAGCTCTAAGTCTGTAAGGTCCATATTTCTTTTAGCCTTCTCCATTTGAACTTGTAGGTAAAAAGCATTCTTTTTTCAACGGCTTCCAAGAGAGTTTTAGGTTGGTGCATTGTTTGTAACTTAGCAAACAAAGAGAAAGAGTTCTTCAAGGAGAGAGGACAAAGAATATTGAAGTGATATTCCTCACTATAAAAATAGGAAAAAAGGAGGAAATTTTGATCCTTTTTTAAAAACAAATAGACGTTTTTGAGAGTTAATAAAATGCAAAATCCCTGTAATGAAAGTCCAATATAGATGTAAATCCAGTCAAGTCACTGTCAGTATCCAGGAAATTGCTGCAACTTCCTTACAGAGAAAGCGAAAGTTATTCAGTACAGCAGAGCGGAACAACAACAACAAAAAAAGACATATGCACAAAAAATCATGTTAAAATCCAGCAAGGAGTTAGAACAGTGATGGCGAACCTTTTAGACACCAAGTGCCCAAAAACTGCCCCGCCCCCTGCTCTGCTCCGCGCCCTGCCTCCCCTCCTGCCCACAGGGTCACCTACCGCCTCCACAGCCCACTGCAGCAGATTGCCCAGGCGGTCCTATAGTACCATGGTGGCCACGCCCTCCGACCGCACCCCACAGCATCATCTCCATGCAATGGGCATGAGGGCGGAGTCTTGTCCCTGCTGCCCAGCTGCCATGTCCTTGGCTGCGCTGCTCCATGTGGGCAGCTCCCGGGGCGACTCTCCTCCAGGAGGGTTGCTGGTGAGGATGGGGCCATGGGGGGAGGTGGGGCTGGGGCAACAGCGTGCGTGGGTGCCCACAGAGAGGGCTCTGCGTGCCATCTTTGGCACACGTGCCATAGGTTCGCCACCACTGGGTTAGAATAAATCAGCATTTGACCAGTCAGAACTTTTGAAAATAAAAAGCAAATTAAAAAAGAAACTTCAAAGAGTGCAGTTAAAAGCCAGGCATGCTTAAAAGAAATCAATCAGCTGAGAGGAAAAGATGGAGATCTGTCTCTCCAGCTGCTTCTACCAGGAATTGCAATCTTCAAAATTCCTTTTCCCAGGTGGGTCCATGGTTGTCCGAGGATTGTCTTGGATCATTCCTAAATGTTCCCATTCAACTCTAGGGGGCGCACCACCAAAAAGCCAACTTTGGCAGCAAAATCAGCTGATTGTCCGTAGGAGAAAAAGATTGCCCTGTTGTTCAGCACATAATCTTGGGGGAAGTCAAACCCTTTTTGGATCAAGATCATTACTTAGTCTTTAAATGGCATATCAAAAAATGAGTGGGGCTGGTAGAAATCGACCTCTGGCTTAATTTTATTTCAGTGACTCAAGTTCATTTGAGTTGAATGAAGTGAATTATTTCTACAGTTCCATGGAAATTTTTGAAGAGCTGTGGGACCACAGCCAGAGTTTTGAAGGGCAACTTGATCACTTCTACCGTATAGTAACTGCTACTCTCAACCTTCAGGTCGCTACAACATGGGCGGGGATCCAGTTCCTGTCATGGATGATATTAAAGAATTCCTCAGGATTAAGAAATCCGGCTCCAATTCTCGCAATGAATTCTTAGGTAAGTTCTGACTATCTACACGCCAGGAAGTAGAAAAGTACTTTAAACCAGAATTTCACAATGTTTGGCCTCACTTGCCTGTGATAAGACTTTCTGCCAATATTATAGGCCAAGGTCAGAAAGTATAGATCCAGTGTTTTAAACCTTAAACCACTGTGTTGTTGCTGTTTTTATTCTATGAGTGTCTGATTGACTTCTTGGCAACTTAACCCAAGGAACAGATAAATAATATCATAAAAGCAATTTCTGTGTTCCTGGTTGAATATAACACCTAGTGAGATTAGCACACAAGTTGAAGATAGTACATTTGCCCTGAGGAAATTAATGCATGTACTGTATCTGCCAGAGGGTGGGATTACTGAAAGACGAAGGAACAAATAATTGGGTGATACTTATGGACCTAGAACTTGCAGGCATTACGCAAGGATTGTGGGCCACATTTGACTTGATAAATCAAGAATTGTGTTTGGCAAGCATATGTGATTATTTATTTTTGGGTCATGCTTGTATATCACTGTGTTCAATACCTAGAAGCTTATCAGAATTAAAACTTGAGAGGCCATATGCTCAGTATAACTGTTTTAAAGTAGCAAAGTAAAGTTCTTACGATAGCTTGAAATTATTGCATAAATATTAATTGCTGCCAACTTTGCAATCACTATGGCACTGGTTTCTTCAGACACACACACACACACACACA